CTGTCTGGTCCAGTCTTAAAATGCCAAATACATGAATAACTGTGAACTGGAAGCAGGGTCTAAGAGACTCAGGCCATGGTGCTACAGGCCAGTGTGAGTCATCAAGGAGCACTTTGCTCTCTGTGTCATCCCAGCTGGCAGCTCCGGGACCTGCAGGGAGTCAGCAGCAGGGGCCCTTCGCCCTTTGAGTCAATGCTGGCTCCATGCTGGAGCATGGTACCCTGAAGTGCCATTTGCCCGCCCTTCACTTTACTGTGCTGACTTCAGTGTCCTGCCGTGGTAAAAGTCAGTGACACAGGCACCTGGAGAGTGTGCTCTTCAAAAAAAATTACCCTTCCCCATCCAACTGTGTCGACATCTGTGTCATGAGGAGGCTCTTGCATACAGTTGAACCCCAAAGCTTAAGCACTCCCTGCCTGGCATTAAAACTTTCCTAGCATGTTTCAGTGACGAGGTGCCAAGGAGTGTCTGACTGAGTTGACTATTCTCCCTGGGTTTAATTCAGCTTTCTGTCGCTGTTTCCAAATGGCCTTTGCCTTGTCGTGTCCTGACTGGACAGGACAGTGCAGACATGGGAGGTCTGCACTCCTTTAGGGGCAGATGGTGTCCCCCTGCCCTGCTGCTGGCCAGCACGAGGTGGGCTCGGAGGCTGCAAACAGCATGCAGAGCTGCCTTGGCTACGGAGTGCAGGGTAAGGGTCAGCACAGGCCATTTACAATCTCACTGATACATCTGCCCTTGAGGATATGAGTGGGGTGAGGGAGCTCTGCAGGACCAGGGAAGTTTGTGCTGCTATTCCAGACCCACCTGCTGGGACAGCCTAACCAGTAGGGCTGTCCCCAAAACCTCCCTATGAGAAGATTTTACTATGTGGAGAGGATGTGGAGGGAAACAGCTTGAGATCAAATAAGAGTGGCCCTAAGATTACATCATGGATCTGTGTGACCTTACCTGATAACCCTCATAGTTACTTGGTGACTGTGGTTGTTTTCCATTTTTATGCTTTTCTTTCCACTCCCCCCATTCCCCCTTCAAAAGAAGAAGATAGGTGCATTCACCTCACTGGGCAGAGAGTAGCCAAACTGAATTCAAGGCTGTTGATGATCTGTGTGATCCTTAGACAGAACTGAAAATAAAACATGAAGAATTGGAGGTGGCCACAACTATGTGGCCACAATTATGTGGCCACAACTTTTTCATGTAAATCCCATGTGCAGTTTGTCTAAGATGATAAACTTCACAGCCCTGCCTCTGAAACAGGCCACTTGGGTCTGATCAGGACTTGGATCTGGCCCAGGTTGGAAGTCAGATATGCCACTGTGGCAAGCAACTGCAGTATCTGGACCTGATTTCCAACAATTTCTGGCCTTGAGACTTGTGACTCTGGTCCAAAAGAGGAAGGGGGCAAAGGTGCAACGTTCGCAGTAATGGCATAAACCAAAGCTGTGAGATAAATGCATCTGAACGTGTCCTCGGTCAGCTTTGACTGGATAATTTGTTAATTAGGGGAAATAAATGAAACATATCTCTTCTCTTCTGAAGAAACAATCCTATGTTAATGCTTTATGTAAAGAGGCAGGTTGGGGCTTCTTGTCTCCTTGAAGATTCCCTGGATAGTGTTCTTACTTCTCTTATTCTTTCCTTTGCGCCTGGGGGATTTTGATAGTCTGTCATTACAGCTGGGCACTCGACTTTCCCTTCCGGAGTCTGACTGAGTTTGAGCTCCCTCAGCTCACGTAACTTTGGGACATGGCCTCTTCTGCTTGAAAACCTCAGGTCTCACTAAAACTTGGTAGAAATGTGTGCAGGGGAAAAGTGCACAAACCCTTTCTGGGGGGAAACATTTCTTTCTCATCTCTTCTACTTTCCTTTCACTGTGTTCTGCATGGTATTGTAACCATATATTTTGGTGAGGTGCTGATCTCTGTCTATGTACTAGTGTTGCTCTAGGTGGTTTTGCTCAGGACACCGTGTGTTGCTGCTGACTCAGGCCTGCCCGTGGTGAAGTGCTGCCACCTGCCAGAAACTAGTGTGGCTTCGCAGTGCTGCCTTCTGTTTAACCCATCCCACTCATTGCTCTCACCTCCCTTTCTCACTGTCCGTTCAGTACTTCCCCGCTTTCTCTTCTCCTCTGGATGCTGGCTCAAATGTCCTTTTCTCTAAGCTTTTATAGCTCCATATAGCCCATTTCTTCCTAGGTCTCCTGGCAACTTGTATGGAACCCTGGTTCACCTTCTGTGACTGCCTTCCACAAGAGGTCTCTTATCCTTGCAGCTCTGGCCAGTGTTATCAGCCATGGAATGCCTTTCTCCCAGTTCCCAGGGGGCTGCAGTGCTCCCACACTGTCCCCTGGAGCTGGGGGAACTCAGCTCCTGCAGTAAGAACTGCAGCATACTGCCCCTCCCTGCCTTAACCAGTTCCTTGCAGCAGGGTACACAATGTTGGTAGATCCTCTCTAACGAGCCAAATCCCTCAGGAGCTCTCAAGGAGCTTTCACTGCCTGAATCCCTTTGATTAGGTATCTCACCTCCCTTATTAACTTCTCCCCATTTTCCATGCTCCACTGGCATTTTTGCTCTTCCCCTGGCTGCTCTGCTCTCTGCTTCAGATGGATTTTCAAAAGAAGTAAGGCCTGTGCAATGGCACTGTCTCCTCTGTTGTGACATGGACCTGCTTGCTCAATTGGGTGACACTGTCTGTGAGGTGAAGGGCTTGCTGATACTACCTTATTCAAACCTTATTGACAGGTAGGGGAGAAAGAGCTTTCCTCCGGTGCTTTCTGTTCGGGTCAGGCAGCCAAATGGTGCCCGTGGAGTTTTGCGGAGCAACCAGCAACGGGAGCACAAGTAAGAAGGAAGTACAGGGCTGTTGAGGTGAGCAAACACATAAGTCCTAGAAAGGAGCTGGGTCGTGAGGCAAGTGGGAATTGGGAGTGTGGGAGGTATGTGGCAGTGCAGAGTAGGGTTCAGCTGAAAGATGTCTGTGGGGAAACACAGGTATTGTTGGAGGACAAGGGGATGAGCAGAACACAGAAATGGGGAAAGAGAGGAACTGAGGAGCAGCAGTGGGAATGCAAGGAAACAAAGTGTGAGTTTGGGGTTTTTTATAAAGCAAGATGTTATTTTTTTTGTTTGGTTTTTTTTTTTTTTCAGCACCATAACTAACTGCAGGGCCCAATTGTTCCTGTCGTCCACCCAGTTACATGCCATCAGTGTGTATGAAATTCAAAGGACAAATTTTACCCTCAGGAATATTGCCTCACTGTTGTTGCGCAGCTCAGCATTGCATCCTATGGAAGTATGATTCAAGGTTGAATTTCGATAGCAAGGAACAACAGCTCTGGTTGAGAAAGAAGAATTGAGCTGTCTACTGATGTTTGAGTGCAGTCTAGTGTAATCTAATAAAAAGAGCAGCTACAGCCTGAATTCACATTTGAAATGCCTCAGCTCTGTTTGGAGATGTGATTCAATGGAAAAACCTCTGTGACTTCCTTCTTTGTCTGCTGATTGTATTTCCTGTTTCTCCACAGTGGAAATCTTGAAACCCTGACAGGAAGTAAGCCTTTTCCTCACGAGACTGGGTCTGTTGAACTTGGTTGGGTGGTGACAGGGGGAAGCATGCAGAGGATTGCTCTGAAATCTCAACACGAAATTTGAGGGCTTACTAGATTTCAGCAGACACTCAGGGGAGACTTAATTCCAGTGAGAGGGCCAAGCCTGAAGACAAAGCATAGTGCTGGAAGGATGTTGGAAAGAAAAGCAGGCAGCATGCATATTCTCAAGGGGCCAGGCTTCTGTTCTGCAAATGTTCTGATTCTTGTATAAAAGTCACGCTCTTTGCAAACAATACAAAATGGAGAAATAAAGCCAGTTTAGAGCACACAAGACATGAGGAGGCTCCTTGGTAAAGAAATCCAGCTACATATGCCCCACTCTGTTTAGGGGTAGTTCTCTGTAATCTGTGTTCACGTGCCCTTTACCTTCTACCACATTGTGGTCCTCTGGTGTCTGATGCATGTTCTTCCTGGTACTGCCCTATCTCACCTCCAGCTCTGCCCTGTGTGCCCTCTGTGCTAGCTCCCCGGATGTCCTGTGAGCATCTCAATCTGCTCTGCCTTAAGGAAATTCCAGCCAGCTAAACTAACCAAGCAAAGCTTTCTCCTTCTCCCTTCTGGTTGTTTTGGAGACCTTGTTGTGGCTTTTCGATACTTAGATGGGGCTTAAAAGAAAGATGGAGAGAGACTTTCTACCAGCACCTGTAGTGATAGGACAAGGGATAATGGTTTTAAAGTGGAAGAAGCCAGATCTGGATTAGATATAAGGAACAAAATCTTTACAATGAGGATGTTGAAACACTGGCACAATTTGCCCAGAGAAGTTTCTGATTCCCCTTAATTGAAAATGTTTCAGACCAGATTGGAAGGGTTTTGAGCAGCCTGATGTTGTGAAAGATGTCCTCGCCCATGGCAGTGGGCTGGACAAGACAGTCTGTGAAGGTCCATTCTGACCCAAACCATTCTGTGATTCCTGAGTCCTATCTGCTGACTGAGCCCTTCTCACCCTGCCTGACTTACTGGCATTTCTTCTCAGAGTCTTTCTGATCTAGCATGTATCTCAGCAGCCATTTCCCTTAATTGTCTCCTTTCAAGATCTGCCCCAGCTTGAAATCAGGCTAAAGATCAGACTGACATTTTGTCCAAGGTAATATCAGAGGCCTTTACCAGAAAGCAGAAAAGGGAGATAAATTACAGTGTTGGAGCAAAAAAATATAAACCATCCCTTTTCAAAAGCCTCTGAAATGGAACCTGAAGCAAGCACTGCTCTGAACTTCCACAGGCTGTAAATCAGGTTGTGATAGAAAGGTCACTGTGTGTGGTCTTCCCAATAACCTCTCAAACCATCAACAAATTTTTTTTAAATCCACTTTGCTTGCTCTCCTCCTTGACCCTGGCCTCATCCTTCTTTTTCTCCTTGGATATATCATAGTTCTGATTATTTTTATTCCTTTGCCTAAGGCTGCAGAACCCTAGTCTCACTTCTACAGGAACATTTCCTTATTTGAGATTTGTTGTAAGTGCCAGCTCCCAACTGGGACTGACTTCTGAGAATGACACATAACTACAACATTTGATGTAGAAAATGCAGCTTAATCACAAGGGACTTGTGAGGGCAGGATGCATTTTATATTGGACTGCGGGTTAAACTGGGCTAGGAGCTGTGATAGTTGCAAACCTAGGGACAATAGTAGAATGCAAACAGACAAAGGAAGGCATGAAAATATGAGAATAGGAGAAAGTTAAATAAGAAAGGTAAAAAGACAAAAAGAAAACCCTAAAAATATCTTTAAAAGCAAGGCTATCAGCTGGGAATTGGTTAAGGGGAAGGAAGGATGCAACTTCCTTTTCAGTTGTTAGGTTCTCTTTTTTTTTTTTTTTTTATGTCTCAGAAGTTTTCATAGTGCCAGGGCTGATTTTCTGGGCTAAGAAACTGAAGACCCATATGGAGCATTTCTGAGCTCCCAGGAATTCTGAGGTTATTGCCAGTGTTTCCAGTGTTTAACACAGCCTTCTTTTATGGGCAGAGGGTGAATGAGCTGATGGGAAAGCCTCAGTAACCTATTGGTGTCACCCCCTGGAAACAAGGACCTAAAAGGACCACATCTTATGTGGCAAAACTAAGGACAGGGTCAGTGATCACACTGTGATTAAATGGCATCAGAAGTCACCTATGCTGAGGTGAAGTTCAAGAATGCATCACTGGCTGCAGTGGTTGAAGGTAAGGAATGGATGGGTTATTCAGGGGAAATGGAGCTGGCATGAAGGGGGGCTGAAGAACAGGAAACAGAGTCTTTTCCTGCCTGGTCTTTATGGATTGGTGAGAAAAAAGATCTGTCTACCACTAAATGAGCAGGAGACTGGAGGAGTTCTGAAGTAAGAGTCTCGAGGAATGTCTGCAAGAGTAAAGGTGAGTTGGAGTTGCAACATGATCAAGAATGACTACTGGGAGCACAGACAGTAGGTTTCAAGTGAACATTCATTAAGGAATGTATTTGGGCTCCCTCAGTCCCCTGGTTGCAACACCAACAGTGGCAATAGGTATAAGGTGCAGCATAGGCACTGTACAGAAGTAGTGCTTAGCCCTGCTTCCATGCTGACTGCATCCTTACATGGTATGTAGTCTTGAATGAGTCGTTTTTGGACAGTATTGAGTACCAGCAATTTATTACAAACAATCTGATCTGTCACAAAGGAGAAGGGGCTCCCAAAGCAGCAAATAAGCCCAAGCCCTTGCTGCTACTGCTCCTGCTTCTAAGAGAGTGAGACCACAGATTCCTGCTTATGGAAAGGACAGGAGTCTCCCTATAGTAAAGCAGTCAGTTGTACTCTGCAGCTTCATGAGAAGTGGTACTGGCTGCAGGAACTTATAACCCCATTTTCCATGGTTGATTGAGATATGGTCATTGAAGAAAAGAGACCCAAAACTTGAACAAAACACCCTGAAATACACAGAAGGAGAATTATTTAAGATCTGAAGGAAGATCCAACTCTATTATTGATGTCTGCCACTCCTGAAAAATAATTAACACACCAAACAAACGAATTTTTATTGCTATTAAAAATTACAGTGGTAATTTTTTTTTACCAGACTTCATGCAAATGTAAGGCATATTCTGATCAGTTTGTATTCTGTAGTCATTATGCCACAAGTAGGAACACATAGAGAGGCTTTATGTATGGCTCATTGCTTCTACCCTGACATAGAGAACCCTATACAACAGGTTTCAGGGGAGTGAAAGTATGTGTGCATAAATTAATTACTACTGCTAAGGATATTAACTTGCCTATTAACAGCTTTAACTCAGTTTTACAATCCCAAACAGAGCAGGCATCAGCTCCAGGTTATTCCCTGCCTGCTCTGAGGCATGAGTCATGGAAATAAATGACTATCTTGAAAGCTCACTGTTTTCAATGCACCAAGATTAGCTGGTTCTGGATACAGCTAGCATTTCCATTGTGGTGAGGTGGGGGTGGTGGAAGTTCCCCACCGTGTTCCAAATGATATTCCAAAGACATCTGATCCAGCCATGTCTGCTTGAGCTGTGGATGCCAAGCTTATGCTATAGGTTTGGGTGTGTGCTTAGGGTCTGATTTTGGGTGTGCCTGTTGAAGTGATCTCACACTGCCTGTTGTTTATACTTGGAATGCAGAGGAGTGTCTGGTAGTACCATTGCAGACAGTTCTATGTCTCTCACAGCCTCACACTATGCACATAGGATGAGCATTATGATTATTAGTGAAAGGTTGAGACAGTCTTGCTGCTCTGTTGTTCTTCTGAATGGTTACTCTGGCCATGCAGACCCCGTGTTGGTAATGGCCAAGCACACCTGGGTTTTCCCATTCTGTAGCCTCTTCAGTTGGGTTCTAGGGATACCAAAACTGGCAGTCAAGAAGTTAGAGAGGAGAAGGCTAATCAAACAATACATGAACTCTAGCAGGAAATTCCTCATTTTCAACCAGGATTTCCCAGATAAAAACACAGGCATCTGTGCTGCCCCACACTTGCTGCCTGTGCCTAGGAGATGTTGGATTTACATGCTGAATAACCAGCATATGCTTATCAAGTCTGTTGTGTTGGGATCATGCTGGAAATTTTACAAGCAAGCAGACCAACTGTGGAAAGCATTTTGCAGGGAGCTCAACCCACTGAGTGTGCACAAGATTACTGCACTCAGCACTACTGCTGCTGAGGGGGGTGGCACACTCCCTGTGCTACTTGGGTGTGAGTGTGGGATGCTCAGGTCTGACTGGGCACAGGTTGAACAGTCATACTCTGGATGTGCTGCACATCAAAAAAGTTATTTGGACTGGTTAGGTCTGAAGTAGGTGGCTGGACTCCAGATCATGAGCTGGTTCCTTGTTTTCACTACAGACAAAAGCTTTGGCTAGAAAAACGTTATTTTACCAAGGAAATCTGGATCTTGTCTGTCTATGAATGTTTTCTCTACAAATAATGCAAGATTATGCCTTTTGCCCTTCTGTAACCTTTGGGAAGTAGTCAGAAGGCTTTCACAAAGAGCAGGTTTCTGGAAGTCTTGCTTACTAGACATGGCTGGCAGGCACACATGGCTGCTGATAGACTTGGGAGTTTCATGCTGAGCAACAAATGAGGTCTCTCTAAATCTTATCATTAATATCAGTCTCTCCAAAAACTTATTTACTCCTGTCCTACAGTGAGTGCTGCAGTCTCTTTACCTTTCTATTTGCTCTGGCTTGTGTACCTGCCACAAACTAGAACAATCTCCTAACAAGTGATGGCTTCTCCTTCCCTGTGACATGCTCCTCTGTCTACTTCCAAACCTCCTCAGTACTGGCAAAATCCCCCTAGACAAAAGTCAAGTCCTGTCAAGTCTTAATCTGAGTGTGATACTTTACTTAGGCTGCTGGACACAGCCCTTTGTTCTCCCAAGGTATCCATCCTAGCGGAACCTATTAGAGCAAATCTCTGAACCCTGGCTCGGAAAGCAGAGGTGGAAGTGAAGAATATAGCTTTTAATCTCCCAATGATTATGAGCCATCATAGCGTTGTACATTTTTTGTCTCCTGTACTCATTCATCTTATATCAACCTTCTGCACAGGAAGTCCAAAATGCTAAGAAGGAACTGAATCAGGCATAAAAGGTTTTCTGGGAAGAAGTCAACATGAAATCTTCATATGAATGTCTCAAGTATTACGGATAGAGCAACGTTGCATTTGGCAACTTTGGGCTCATTCTAGAAAGACACTGTTTCACTTTAGATTTTGAGGCCACATGAAGGCCTCGCCTCCTAATAACAGCAGTTAGCACTGTTAGCTCACCAGTTGGGCTGGGACTGGGAATACTGTCACTGAACTTGACCTTCTCCAGAAACCACAGAGGTCCCCTGCTTTGTCCCAGTCTGCTCTTCTCCCCAGCCATGTAACTTCCACATCAGAAATTAAATTGCTTTTTATTTTTGAGGAGCTCTTTCTTGAGTAGTACATCCTTGATATGTGGACTGGGGACTGACCAAAGCATAGTTGACTGTGGTGTTTTGTTTGGTGTGTTCCTTCACTTTTAGCACCTCCTGAGACGAAGAAGTGTGAGCACCACCCCCAGAAATACCCACCATGGCTCCCATGGCTGATCTCACTGTTGCTCCTCTTGACATGCATTGCCCTTGTTGTTGTTCTCCTTGGTGAGTATGTGCAGGCTGGTTACAGAAGAGAGGTCTGGGGGAAGTGCTGGGAGAAAGAAAGAGAAATCAGTACCCAGAGGGGAATACCTTCCAACCAGAGGGGGCTTTTACTCAAGAACAATTTTGTCATGAGAAAAGGATGCAAGCACCAGCATTTGGGTTCAGAACATCCAAACGTTGAACATTTGAATGGTATGTTTAGGAGCAAAATCTTCCCTGATTAATTAAGCACTGGGGATTTAAGGGCACAGTTGCAACATGACACAAACTTCTCTCTTGTAGGCCAGCCAAACCAGAGGTTCTGGCCAACTGGCATGTGGGAAGCAGGACAACCACAGCATTATGCCAGATGGTTCTGTTATACCCACCCTCTTCCTGAGAATTATGAAAAGAGTTAGGCAGGAAAGGCCTTCTGGAGGTCTCTAGTCTATTGCCCTGCTTGAAGCATGGCCATTTTCAAAACTGCATGGTTGTTTGGGCTTTGTGTAAAGGTCTCAGGTTTTCTTGACCTGACTTTGTATATGTCTGCATACATCCCTCAAATCTTCCACTGTTTACCTGGGTTTTTTCCGTGTGCCCAGATTGCACATTCCCATCTTGAATGGCCTCTTTGGAACTTAGGAACAATTCTCTACCTTCATACTACACAAAAAGGAACTAAATGGAAATGGAAAAAGTGGAGATGGAAGCACAAGGGCCTACACAGGCAGCTGAATCTGCACTTAGGCTCTCTAAGGTGCTTGGACACACTTTGTGTCCTAACAGAAAACATGGCTTCTCATAGTCCTGGCATCTCTAGGATGAGCTGCACAGTGCTAACTCTCACACCTTTTTAGGGTTAATTGCAGATTAAATAATTAAAAGTTATTCTTGCACATGCAGTTTGTGGAGATTGTGATTACTGTTTCATTCTCATTTTCTGTTAAAGACAATTCATGGCATGTTTCCACAAATTGTCAATAACTGTGATGGATTCTGATAGAGGCATATATTATGATAAATCACTGCCCTTCCTTTTGCTGTCATTAGTTCCTGAGTCCCAGGAGTTTGTACTGCTTTGTTCCCAAATGTATAACTTTTCACAGTACTAGGCTAAAAGGTTGGAGAGTTTTAGGGTGGGATGTTAGAGCCTGATACTTTCTCATACACATGGAAGGTTTAATTTTTAGTGGCCAATTTACTTATCCAAGTTAATTGATGCTACATAGGATTTTGGTTTAGCAGAGTGATACAGCAAATGTATTAAAATGAAAACACCAGTACAAATTTCACATAGCAGAGAGTGGCAATTGCAATGCACAGATGAATCACAATACAAACATGATTTTTGTTAGTGGTCATACAAACACAGAATAGTAAAATCATTAATGTTGGAAAAGACCGCTAAGGTCATGCAGTCAAACCGTTAACCAAACACTGCCAAGCTCACGACTAAACCATGTCCCCAAGTGCCAAATCTAGATGTTTTTTGAACACTTCCAGGAATGGGGATTCCACCACTTCCCTGGGCAGCCTGTTCCAATCCTTGACCCACCTTTCCGTGAAGAGGTTTTTGCTCATATCCAAACTAAACCTCCCCTGGTACAACTTGAGGCCATTTGGCCATTTCCTCTTGTCCTGTTAGTTGTCACCTGTAAGAAGAGGCTGACTGTAACCTGGCTACAGCCTCCTTTCAGGTAGTTGTGAAGAGCAATAAGGTCCCCCCTGAGCCTCCTCCTCTCCAGGCTAAACAACCCCAGCTCCCTCAGCCAATCCTCATAAGACTTGTGCTCCAGACCCTTTCCCAGCTTTGTTGCCCTTTTCTGGACAAGCTCCAGCACCTCAGTGTCTTTCTTGTAGTTAGGGGACCAAAACTGAACACAGTTCTGCAATATATTCAGCATCAAGACATCCAGTGTCCCCGATGACCAAGAAAAAAAATGTGAGGGGGCAGCTCAGGCCCAGTGCTTTCCTCAGGTAAGTCTTTGTTAGTCATTCATTTTTTTACTCTCTTTTGGACTAAGCCACATATACACTCATCCCATGCTGGTCTGGCTAACTTAGGAAGACACCACTCTCTTCGTGATCTTTAGAGGGATGCACAGTTGGTCAGTTCGCTCAGCTGAACTAAAACAAAGGCCACCTATCTTCTCATCCCCCTTTGTGTAGTGATAAGGTCACCTTTATTTGCATCAGAGGTGGTCAGTCACTCATTGCCCTTGCCCATCTTCTCTGAGCCTTCTTCCATTACAGGAATTCATTCCTCATCAGGCACTGAGGCCACTATGAGGCCTCACCTTGAGTCCTGTGTGCACTTTTGGGCACCACAATATAAAAGAGACATTCAGCTATTAGAGAGCATCCAAAGGAGGGCCATGAGGATGGTGAAGGGTCTGGTGGGGAAACGTTATGAGGAGTGGCTGAGTTCACTTGGTCTGTTCATCCTGGAGGAGACTGAGGGGAGACCTCACTGAGGTCTTCAACATCCTCATGAAGGGAAGCAGAGGGGCAAGTACAGATCCCTTCACTCTCATGACCAGTGACATGACCCAAGAGAACGGCATGAAGCTGAGTTGAGGGAGGTTTAGGTTGGATACCAGGAGAAATTTTTCATCCTGAGGGTGGTTGCACACTGGAACAGGCTCCCCAGGGTAGTGGTCACAGCACCAAGCCTGCCAAAATTAAAGAAGCATTTGGACAATATTTTCAGGCTCGTGGTGTGATTCTTGGGAATATCCTGTAAAGAGCTAGGAGTTGGACTAGATGATCCTGATGGGTCCCTTCCATCTCAGCATACTCTATGGTTCCCTGATCCTGTGATGCCTCTGTTCTCCCCACTAGTAAACATACTTCTAAATGAAATAATTGATAAAATCAGACATCTGTGTTACTGAGCACATCCTGATTGGTTTTAAGTCAATACCACTGAGTGTTTGAGTTAGTAATAGGTCCTTCAGGTTGTGGATGTGACCATTCACCAACACTGTATTATTCCCCAGAAACTGGGGGCTATGAAATCCTACGAGTTTATCCTCCACCCTGATTTCAGCAGCTCCAGCTGTATGTGATTACCTTCACCTGCACTGTCTGTTGCTGAAGAAACAGACCCATCTGATGTGCTACTCCTCCAAATTACTGTTGATATCTAGTTTAGGGAGTGATAAACTGTGACACTGAAGAGCGGCTTTTTATTCACTGATTGTACAGAGGTTTAGACTGGCAGCTTGGCTGTAGGTATGTTCATGGTAGAGTGGCTGTGGTTGGGTGCAATCAATGCTGCCCTGTCTGGCACATCCTCAGGGTGTGTCCTTCCAGTGTTCCTTCTGCTGTCTGAGATGCAAGATTGTCTCTTTGCGGGCTGGGAAGGCAGCCATGCCACTTGTTTGGGCCAGGAGAGGTGACGGCTGGGACAATGCTTGGTGGGGAAATGGTGGAACAGGAGTGAAGCCCAGAGATGCTGTGTGAGGAGCCAGGAGGAAGGAGTAATCCTGCCACCTTTCCTCTCCCTTTCCAGTGGCTCCCTTCTCCCACAGCAGTGACCAGCCCACAGCCCTGCAGGAGAAATTCACGGCGTGGGATTGCAACTCAGCGGTGTCAGAAAACAAAGGTCAGTAGGGCTGGCAGGGGTACAGGAGGTCTTTGGGATGGGGACAATGAATGCTGAGGTCTGCTCTGACAGCAAGTGGCAGCAGGAGCAGACTCGGGAGAGGCAGACTGCAGAGGAGGGAAGCAGGCAGAAAAAGGGTTTCCTGCTAAGAGCTTAGGGGGAGGTGTAAAGGGGGTACTTTTGAATTAGATGATCAATGGAGCATAGAGGCTCCATTACAGTGAGAAAGGAATCATATTAGGATGTGAAACCAGCTAGAGTATGGTACAATGTAACTTCATGGCACAAGCTAATTGTAAGGTCCACTGTGCTTTTTAGCAAGTCAGCCTGATATCCCCTATTATCAGAGCTGAGTTCTTCCTTGGTTTTGCTACATATTGCAAGATAGATACATCTACCCTTGAAACACAATGGTAGAGGTCATACATAGGGGTGAGAAAGATGATGATGGGAGGAAGATTATGTGGGCAGGGGTCGCTCGCCCCTTGCCCTACAAGTAGGGCACGTGCAGACTGTTGCCATTAGGTGATGATTAGGCGGTGTTTGGCTGCCACTCAGGCATCACCTTATACTGCGTACTGGCCCTACGTAGTGTAATGTGAAACTGATAAAAATGGGGTGTCGGGACTGCTGAGCTCAAGCGATACTCATCCTACCACTGAGACTGTGTTGCTCCGCGGGGATGCCCGCTAAGCACGGGTACCGACCAGCTGCTGCAGATCCTGACAGCCCTGGCCTGTCTGTGTGGGTAAGCACAGTTTATTGACAGGAAGCAAACGAGAAAGCAAACTTTTTAATATCCTTTTAGTGTTCCTTTAATTCCCCTTTTATTATTGAATATTGTTACATAAATAAGTTGTTCATAGTATTTCCCTTTAATTTCCCTTTTACTCACCAATATCGTGTTAATAGCTATCCATAATATCATGTTAAGATCCTTTTTTGATATCCCTTTAAACTCCCTTTTATACTAGTTAATATCGTGATATAAATGTTGTTCATATATTTTTTTTAAGGCCACACAATAAGGTAGTTATTTTGTATCCTTTTTAGTTTTTAATTCTTTTTGCTAAGTTTATTATCATCATTATTATTCTCACAGTAATAAAAGATATTTTGTGTGTTTGAATGTTTCTGGCACTTGTTTTTATTCCGGACATGTATCCAAACAAACTGTTACAGGAGGAGAGGGCCATGTTAATGATGTCCTGGAGGGCATCGTGGATGTGAACTCTGACCAGACAAAGGGGACAGCACAGAGTGGCGCAGGGGAGGTTAACAATGGAGCAATAATAAAAGGGCAGCTCCAGTCAAGGAAAGAAGCAATATCCCCTGTTTCCTGGGGCTAAAGGCCTAAAGAAGACTGACTTGACAAGGAGAAGTCAAACCAGACCACCAAAATAATCTTGTGAAGACCTGCAAGGAGATTACCAGGATTCTGTGTACACAAACCTCACTGGTCATTCTCAAAGCAGTGGGGGAAAGGTATCTGTACTCTGCTTGTTTTTCAAGCACTTTCTATCAGGAAAAGTGACTAAGGAGAACATGAGCACTGTCCCTGGAGAACTTGGATCTTTGCAATCACCATCTCTCTTGTTGCTAGCATTCATTGCATTCATTCTGTGTTCTCTCCCCGCACAGGCCGAGGCTGGATGTGCTGCCCGAAGGGCTGGAGAAGGTTTCAAAACAGCTGCTATTTTGTGTCCCTTGATATGATGTCCTGGGCTGAGAGTGAGCAGAACTGCACTGGGATGGGCTCCCACCTGGTGGTGATCAACAGTGAGGAAGAGCAGGTACATGCACAGGGCTGAGAGAGGGGCAGAGCAGCCACAGACACAATGCTGGGCCCTGGAGGGGACTCAGAGCCCCTCCTTGTCCTGCACTGGGTTCTGTTTGCCACCACCCCACATGGACTCCTGATGCCTCCCTCTGATCAATCCTGCATCTCACAGACATTGCACTCTCCCTCATTTCCAGGTTTTCCTCTCTGAACAGATAAAACCAATTCTAAAAGCAGAAAATTTCTACATCGGTCTGAGAGCAGAGATTGTGGATCAGTGGCAGTGGGTGGACAAGACTCCCTATAATGTAACAGCAGCGTGAGTATCCCTGGATGAAGAGTGATTGGTGTGCCTCCTGGTAGTACAAGAAAGTAGGAGAGTTGTGAGGGTGTCTATTGGTGTGTGAGAGGGAGGTATCAGAAACTTGCCCTGAAGGCAGACACGTCACTGCTGGGTGTGAAGTTCATGGGGTGAGTGGTGGTGATCAGTTCCCCCCAGAAGGAAGGAGCAGGGCCCTTCTGTGTTGGAAGGCTGTAGAAAGAAGGCAGGTTTCCACATGACGCTTGTGCCAGTGGGATATCAGAGAGGGAGGAAGGATACATCTTCTGTCCATGAATCAGCATTGGGAATTTTTCTCTCTCCCCTTCAAGTCTTGCATCCTTCTGTGGCCTTTTCCAGCAGTTCTTTACAATGAAAGCTGGGGAGTAACATGCCTGTCTCTGTCTCAGGTTCTGGCGAAGAAATGAACCAAGTGAAGGTGATCATGAGAAGTGTGTTGTAATGCATAGGTATTCGGAAATACCCAACAACTGGAATAATGTCAGATGTTCGAAGTTTTCTTGGATTTGTGAAGCTGCTGCCGTAACTCTGTGATGGAAATACCCCCATCCTTAGTAAAAGTGGGAGATGAGCAGTGAGCTGAGACCGGCACAGGGCTGTGCTGGAGGGGTGGGGAGCCCTGAAGCCTGCATCTTCACTGTGCTGCGTGGGATAATGGAAGTGGAAGTGATACGACCCTTTGTCCAGCATCCCCAGTGCATCAAGGGGCTGAGGGAACACTTAAAGGCTGAGGGTCATCAAAGCTGGTCCCGTGTTCTTGTGTCCTCTTCTCTCTGAGTGGGTCCAGAGGCCACTGGCAGAAAAGACATGGAATTCTTCAGGAAGAAGACACAGGAATGGAAGACAGATGTCCTGAGCTGCATTTTCTTTCTCTCCTTCAACAGAAGTCTCTGCTTTCTGTTGAGTCACACGCAGAATGTCCTCCAGTTGCACTGGTTTTGTTGAACAAGTTCTGAAATTTATGCAAGAGAAAATACAGTATTAGACCAACAAAAAAGTCTCTGTGCAGTGTGTGTAGATCTGTCTTTCTCTCTTTCCATCTCTAATCTGCCGGGGTATAATCCTTGAATCATGGAATGGTTTGTGTTGGAAGGGACCCTTAAAGATCATTGGGTTACAAGCCCTGGGTCTTGAGCATGGACACCTTCCACTAGAGCAGGTTGCTCAAAGCCCCATCCAGCCTGGCCTTGAACACTTGCAGGGATTGGGCACCCACAGCTCCTCTGGGAAACCTGGGCCAGCGCTTCACCAATGTCACAGTAGAGAATTTCTTCCTGAAATCTAATCTAACCTACCCTCGTTCAGTTTACAGCCATGAACCCTTGTGCCATCACTACATGGCCTTGTGATAGGTCCCTCTCCAGCCTTCCTGTAAGCCTCCTTTAGGTGCTGAAAGGTTGCTCTAAGGTCACCTTGGAATCTTCTCTTCCCCAGGCTGTACGAATGCCGCAGCCTGTCTTTAGAGGAGAGGTGCTCCAGCCCTCTGTCTCCATTCCCTTTGCCTTCATCTCCATGGCTCTTCCTCTGGACTTGCTCCCATGGGAGTAACAATCCACTCTGGGCCTTGAGTGCCACATGGAGGAAGCAGTCCTCTTCCTAAGTCAGAGCTGATCCCAGGCTCACCTGATGCAGCAGCATTCCTGCAAGGCCAAATCCTCTGTGGTTCCTGTAAGAGCATGCCTGCCCAGGCCAGGTCATGGTGCAGAAGAGGCTGCAAGGGGCAGGGCAGGGCTGCTGCTGCACATGAAGTCCCTTCCAGAGGTTCATTGCCTATTGAATTGCCTTCATGTCCTGCTGCAGACCGTATGTCACCATGGATCTCACTTTTTCTCCACCCCTTTCCTGTGTCCTCACTTTCGTCTACCCCCGGAAACATCATCTGCCCAAGCTTTCCTGACCAAATAGTGTGAGCTCCTCACATGGAGTGCAACTGGATGTGCAACCTGGTTGTGTGACTCTGTCCTTACTATGACAGTGAATGCTCTCTCTGTGTCCCAAAGAGAGAGGAGAACTCACACTGGAGACAAGGTGACCAGGAAATTTGGCTTCCCAAGCCAATCAACTGTAGTTCTGTGAACAGCAGTGTGTGGTAGCTCCACATTTGCATCTCCAGACAGTAGTGAGACTGAGCGTGTCTCTACAATGTGTACACAGAGAGACACATATGGGAGAAAAAGGATGTACACATATAAGCAATCACACAGATCAACGTAGGCAGAAAGCACTGACACCAACTCAAAGAGCAGCCTGATCCTGTTCCCCTCCCTGGCTGCCAGCAGGACAAAAGCCTGCCAGCAGGAAAAATGTATGTTTACATGTATACAATATGGACCTCTCCTGCAGTAAGGCTTAGTCATTCGGTCTATCCGTAGTTGACTCCTGCACGTCCTGGTCTTTCCTGTACTTGGTCTCATGACAGGCACAAGGAGAAAAAGATTGCTGTGGTAGCTGGCCAAGATTTCTGGACTTCCTAGAAGGTGCCTCTCAGACTCCGTGGTCTGCCTGGGAGCTGGCTTGGACACCTGGGCTCCTGCTCCGTTTTCATTGATGAATTTCCTGGGGTACATAAATGCCTGATGATGTTGTTTTTCTGAGAAGCGGGGAAGAGACTGGAATTCTTTTTTAAATCTAGCCACTCCCAGTGATTGACAGGGGTATTTCCACTCTATAGGGTTGATACTTGCAGGATTTGACTTCATTCCACAGGATACAGTCAGTAATACAAGCAGATGTGAAGAAGCAGTGGTCAGCAGAGACTTGTGGTGGTATCAGGGACCTGGTGAAGTACAGTTCTGCAGAGAGCCTCCCTTTCCCTTCCTGATGTCCTGGTGCTCTCCAGCTTCACCGTGCAGACATGTATCTTGCGGAGAACAAAATCCTTCCCTGCTGCCATTTGAGTTAATGTTCTTTGGTGTCCTGTGGTGGGAACATGGCCCCTGTGCTCTTCAGAGCCTCTTTGGGGCCGGGATGCTTCTCTCCCATTGGCCTTTTCCCAGTGAAACTTTATCTTTCCACTCAGGTCTTACTGAACATACTTCTTTACACCGTTTTTCTTACTTTGCCTCAGACTCCTCCCATTCCCCTCTGGCTCTGCCCAAGCCCAGTGCTCTGGCTGTGAGCAAGACAGCACAAGTTACCTCTTTAGCCCTAAGTCATACATGTAGTCCAGGAGTTAATATACCTGCCCTGGAGACCCGCTGCTGGACAAGGACTTTCCTCTTCTGTTTAGGGAGTTCTATGAGGACCAAGCTAATTCCCACAAAGCAGCATTTTAGTCACTTCTCCCCAAGTATATTTCCATGTTGGCTTTCTTCTCTATGGTGTAATTGCATGTATCTGCCTTCCAAGGATTTTCTTTTCTCTGGTTTAAGTTCATTTCTCTAGTTTCCAGACCCCTTGTCAGCTTGTCCTCCTATCTTGTTTCTTGGCCTCTTGGCTTGTCCCTTCTCAAGCTTTTATGGCAATTTCTTCTCTTTGGCTGGTTGTTCACTTTTCCTCCTCATGGGGCTTTTGTTTTTGCATTAGTGGAATGAAATAGCCCTTGATTTGCCTCCTTTTCAATGCACCCTGAAAAACTGGATAGGGAGAAAAAGGAACTCATTGGTGGTCCACCTTGGTGATGCAACTGTGTCCTCTCACTTCTCAAATGGCTTTCCACCTTCCTCAAGTGTTCTTCCTACACAGGAGTCCTGAGATGAGATGCACTGTCATTTCAAGAAGGGTGATGTGTGTGACAGTACCCTCTGCTGGTCCTGCAAGTAAGGGCCTCTCCATCTGCAACCTAGAAACTATGCTCTTTAGTGTCACAGCTCCTCCCAGTCCCACCTTGTGGTCCTGGACTTGGGACTGCCAGGAGCAGACCTTGTGATCTGGGGTCTTTAACAAGATTCCCACTAGTTTCTGGCTTTTGCCATGCAGGACTCCCCTTCAGCCCTCACTCTGCAATGACTTTTAGCACACAAGGATAACAAGGAGCAGATTTCCTTCCTTCCCTCCTCCAGACAAGAGTCATAGCAAGAGAGGGAGGGTTAGGCCTGCAGAGGTAAAGCTACCTGAAGGGCACAGCTCATGAAGGACAGAGCTGACCAACAGTTCAGCTGGGGTGAGCCTGCAGTGAGCAGCACCATCTGCCAGCTCTGAACATGGTCCTCTTGTTTTGGCTGTAGGAAGAAGGCAGGTTTCCACGTAGGAACTGACACCAGCAGTAATAGGGAAGTAGGAGAACAGGTGTGATTCATCCAGGGGGCTCTGGGTGAATCAGCATCTGGAAGAGTCTGTCTTCATGTCCCTGTCAGGCCTGAAAACCCCAAGTCCTAGTCCTCATCTTTCCATGCAATGTTCGACAAGGCCATGCTGGAGGGTAACATGTGTCCAGTCCTGGAGGCCTGGGGAACTGACTAATGTGAATGATGAAGGTTATATTGTAATCCACCAGAAGGCAGAAGTACAACAGGGCTGGAACAAAATTCCACGGGAATTGTCTCCAAATTCCTAAATCTACAGCACCTACTGTCTGATGGGGGAAACCTCAGTCTGAGTAAAACTGGATGACCGGGAGTTACCTGACAAGAACACAGAGGATTTTTGTAATGGGTGTGAATGCCGGAGCCTGTATCTTCACTCTGCTGAGTGGGAATTTTGAGTGGAAGCAATACTGTCAGGCAGTGGGTGAGTACCAACCTTCTCTTCTCTGGTCTGAACAGTTCTAACATGCTGAACCTCTTCTCATATGAAGATCTAACCAGAAGATGCTTCATTTGCCTTTCCAACAGGAGAGAACAATCCCCATGCCTTTGATGACTCCATAGAACAGGCCATATTCCCATTCTGTCTTGGACACAGTCACTCTGTGTCATGTTATCGCTACCAGTGCAAGGCTGGATATGCTGCACAGTGGGCCGAGAATGCTTTCAAAAATGTTGCTATCACATACTGGCTGAACAGATGCCCTGGAATGAAAGCAAGGACACAGGTTCACACATGGTGGGGATCAATACAGAAGTAAATCAGGTAAGTGGGAATCTTCCCATGGGAGTCTTATAAACAAATCCTCAAATCGTCCAGTGTTTGCTCTCCTGAAGACTCTGGTTGTGATTCTGGATTTTACCCTCCTACCTCCTCACAGGATCTTGAATTCCAACATCACATAGTCACCACAGACAAGCTTGCCCCCAACCTTTACATCCCAAACAGCTCTTCCTCGTTGGTAAGTGTGAGATCCAGCAGAGCACATCTCCTTGTCGTTGGATCCTCCGTAACCTGGGTCAGGAAGTTATGGTAAGGACGCTCCAGAATCCTTCTGCATTGTTTGTACTTTACAGCTGAAAACAGAGCTCAGAAACTGTAGCACAAGCTGCTAAGCCTGACAGCTGCCTCTGTGAGCTGCCCTTACACACACACTGCTGGGGCTCAGGGCTGTGGAGCTGGTTTTCATTCTGTGTGAGTGCAAAGCAACCAGGCACATTGGAATCCCTCTCCCTGTGGGATTATTTCTCTCTTCCGGTATTGTCACACCGTGGTAGCACTTCTTCTGGGTTTTCTACCTTTCTCTTTTTAGTATTTCCTTCTGGGCTACTTGCCTTTGTTTGACTAGTGCAAAGTCTTTCCCTTCAAATCATTCTGAATTCAAGAAAACTGGAAAGCAGGACTTCCTAGGGAATTCAAGTGGATGGAGAAATTGCCATCAACCCCTGAGAAAGAGAGAACTAGATTCAGCAAGTTCATTTCTGAACATGAGCATACTTGCTGTTTGTTGGTCCTTGGAACCCTCTGAAGCATTCTCCATCCTGCTTCAGGTGGCTGGTTGCTTCTAAACTTAGGCACCTTCAGTGCTCCCAGCAGGTAATTGGCTCTGTTTCTGCCTCCTGAGTAGGAGTTCCAACTGATTTACTGTGTGGTATAGTTTGGCAAAAAAGCCGATGAAGTTTTATCTTCCTGCTTGTGGCTCCCAGTTCTCAGATCCTGAGTATCTCCAAGGGAGGTGTCATTCTATGTCTTTTCCTAGAAGCTTGAGTGACTGCAACATTTTCCATAGGTCATGTCCCATTGACCGTGTATATATCCATGCCATGCTTGTTGACTTTTGTCTATACTTCCAGAGTCAGTGAAAGTAGATTCAGAGTTCTCCAGGGCCTCTTTTAGGAGGGCATTCCTTATGATCAAATAGCACTGCCTTCAGTGCTTCAGGCTCACGGCTTCCTGGCAATTCAGTCCTGCCAGGTGCCACCCTGTTGTTCCAGCACACTGATCTGACATATAGACTTGTGAAGTGAAAATATCAAGGGTCACTCATGAAGTTCTTCCTGACCGGAACAGATAGAATGCCACGGCCCGAGGGAAAAGGGAATAGGGACGTGACACTACACAAAGGGTTCTGACACAGTAGAAGGTCAGGGTGTAATGGCCAGTTTATTAGGGAAAACAAGGATTTATATAAGGTTTGGGTAAGGGGAGGTTCAATAACTGGGGTGGAGCATGGGATTGACAACTCAGGGTGAAACAAGATAGGAGAATAAGGAAAAGATGGGTGGAACTTAGGAGTATCCAGGGGAAAGGACCAATGGGAACTCACTCTGCACTGCGGCACTCATCAGCCAAGCAGTGAGAGGTGAGCGGGAAAACCAGGGAAGAACAAGGGAGTAAACAACTTTTGGCGGGAAAAACCTGAGGGCAAGTCCAGACAAGCCCTGGGCAATACAAACCAAGGGGAATTAACATGGGAGTACATTGAACATGGTAATACACTGGTAATAAACTGTTGAATAACGTGAAAGTCTGTGGATTAATAGTCCTTTCAGGCCCCATACAAGTCCCTCCAGGCCTTAAATCTCTCCCAATCGCTTGGGTGATCCTCCTCAATAGAAAACCACAGAGAATCTTTCCTTAGACAACTGAGGAAAGATGTACAGGAAGATTGAGGTCACTGATCCACTTTCTCCCCAAGCATGCTGCCCGTGTTTATGGAACAGGAAAGAGAAATAAATTGCTGGCGGTTTGGAAATGTTGCACTGGTTCCAGAGCCTTCCACTGAAGGTAATCTCTCCCATCCATGGTCCCAGCTACCTGGCACCAGGACTACTGAAGAATTTCTTTGCAGGCCAGTGCACAGTTTGGTTACTATCACCATTTTGAGAGTCTTCATTTCCAAGTTAGTCACCTGAATGCTCTGAGAACAGCTGTTTGATTTCCTGGGAAGAGCAGTTTGGTTTGTGATGCTGAAAAAAAGTCCTTTGCTGTCCCTCTGTTTTAGAGCTTTTGCACACACCCGAGTGAATTCTTGTGAGGATGTTTGAACAGACCTTCATGTTGGTCAAATGGCCTGCATAGCAGCAGGTGATAAAACAGGAATGTAAGTGCAAACAGCTGTGTGAATTGAATACCTGAAACTAATTGAAGGGGCACTTGCCCCAAAACCACTGTGATTAAAGTAGAACAGGACCACCAGGTTAACAGTAATTGGGGAATTAGCAAAAGGCTGCTGAGAAAGAGAAGAATCAGTCTGAAAACAAAGTTTAGAAGAAACAAAAACATTTTTAACACAAAGGAGACAGAGAAATGGGAAGGAAGTGGCAGCTGCCACCAGGCTGTTCTATAACTTTGCAGTATCTCTCTGTAACAGAGCACCCTCACTGTGGATGCCGTGGGCATCCTGCACTGTGGCAGTCAGGGCTGCAGCAGGTACAGACTCACAACTGCAGTGTGCGTACGTGACTCTGTGCTGTCCCACCGGCCTGTTGGTCAGTGGGCTGTAGGAAGTGGTGTGCATACACACAAACCCAGCAGAAAGCGTGTAGGACTAGGGGAACCCTGCTTCCAGAAAAGGGGATGTGCAGCTGTGCTTCCTGTGGTGGTGGTGGGAGACTGGAGGTTGCAAAAATTGTTGTGCAAATGTGTTTTTCTAGAGGGGTTAGAGCTTTTGGACATTGGTTATGTAAAGGTGTTTAGAAATATAGGGTCCACCCCTGCCTGAAGCCTGGTGTGCACAAAAAGCATGTTCAGAGGATATCTTCTACATACAGTTTAGGCTTGTCCTCACTTGTAACCCGTTCTGTGCCCTAATCTTTTGATGCTTCAGCTGATATCCCTCTGTTACTGCTATTACCTACCCCATTCCTTACTGCACCCATGCATGCCCCTTCACAGGGAGAAACCAGCTGATGGAACAAGGAAGAGCAAAGTCTGGGTACCCATCTGAGTCCATTCAGGGTACAATGAGATCCAGTAGTGATTCTTTATCCTCCAGGTTATCTTTAGGGACACTGTCATGCAGGATTTTCATTCAAGTCACCTTGAGCAGTGCTAGAACCACCATGTATGGTTGTTCCTTTTGTAGTCATGACCAAGTCAAAACACCACTTCCTTCCCATTTCTCTGTCTCCTCTGTGTTAAAAATGTTTTTGTTTCTTCTAAACTTTATTTTCAGACCGATTCTCCTCTTTCTCAGAAGCACGGGGATTCTGGCATTGTCTAGTGATCCTTTCTAACCTCCAGCTCCACAATGACAGGTCATATGCAGCCTCTCATTTCAAAGCTCCATCCTCTTTCCCTGAGCAGTTAGTTAAAAATAATGTTGGCAACTTCTTTGTTGTGCTCTGGGTTACTGGGCTCGGGCTTCGTATGGGCACTGCTGAGGATGAGTCACAGATATGCTTTCTTGCCGTTTTTGGACTTCCTTTTGCAGGATGTTGTGAGTGGGTTTAACCCTTTAGTGGCAAATACCAGCAGAGCTGCCATTTTCACACACATATTCCCTCACCAGGAAAGAGCAAATACCAAAGAGAGAAGGCCAGTGCTATGTCCTGTGAAACTCCTTGAGTATGTGCAAAAGGAGATTGTATGAGCTGAAATGACGGTACTCTTCATCTGTTTTCTTTTACCTCTGTGAGTTTCTCTGTTGCAAGGAGCATCTTGTGAAATGTCCTTGCAGGGAAATGATGAAAATTCCCCAATATCCATGTACAGTGGGGAACACCCAGGATATGGCTTTTTCCCGCACACCAGATTAGAGGCTGTGAAGGCTCCTCACCAGTGTGGGAGCTGCCCTATGTAGTAGGAAGGCTGTGTTTCTGGCCACATTGGTAACGTGGATTCTTGGAGAAGAGTGATACAGTGGTGGAGAGAATGAATTGCCAAGGGAGAGTCAGTCCTGGAACTGCAGGTAACCACGTAGCCTTCCTTTCTGTCCTCCTGTAGAAGAAGGAAGAGGTGGGGGAAATATGGGGCTGGGATGGATAATGGGCATGGTATGGTGGCTGTCCTCATACCAGGAGAAGGGGCTTAGGACAAGGGCAGTGCAACAGATGAGGGAACTGGGGAGTGCCTGGGCTGGGAGAATGACCTTTATCCTAGAGCCAGGGGGAATGAAAGCCCAGGCAGACTATGGTCTGCCATTCCTTTCAGTGTTTTTTTGTGTAACTGATGGGACTGAAGAGTGCTATCCTACTATCATTACCCTGGTAAAACAATCTGCATCAAGCTGAGCACAGGTCACTGCTCCCATCTCTGGTGTCAATACGGAGGACCAAGCAAGGCTGTTCCAAGAGCTTCTGAGTGCCTTTTTTCCCTTTAGAAACAATAATTTCTGTGTGTCTGGCTGTGCAAACACTGAGCTGGAGAGTCAGTCCTTTGGGTGAATATATGCTATTGCATAAAGGGGCTTGTGGTATAGAGCCAAAATAAAAGCAGCGGAGGAAAAGAAGGTTGAAAGTGAGATGAAGAGGAGAGAGGTACAGAAAGAGCTTTCAGTGAAAACGGGGGTAACAAGGAAGATGAGTTGAGGAAAAAGGATGTCTGATAGCATAAAGAAGGAGTGAAGTTTGGGCAGAATATAACCAGGTCTTGTGACAACCAGCAAAACAAGAAAGCAGCTTCAGGGCAGCCCCTGTGTTACTCTGCTCTGTGGGTCTGACCCACGGCTACTGACAGGCAGCAGGACTTGCTTACAGCACCTGTGAAGCTCCCCAGTCCTTGGAACAAGGGTACCAGCACGGTGCTGGGTTACAGAGCCATCTGGGTTATGCTGCCCCTGACTCTGGGCTGGGAGATTCCCACTCTTGCTTTGTGTTTTTCAGCCCCAGCAGAAGAGAGAAGCTGCTCCTGGCTGAACCCCTGGGTTTTCCTTATTTCTGTCCTTGTCATCAAAACTGCCTTTGTGACCGTCTGTCTTGGTGGGTTCCAGGGTCTCTTACTTCCCCTGGGATGAAGGGATCATTTCATGGCCTTTGTCAAATGGAAAACAATATCTCAATCTCTCTGCCAACAGACAAGTGCCATTTACCAAAACAGCCCTTTCCACCTTTATTAAGCCTATCCCACAACTTACTTTTCCCTTTCCTGGCCCCATTCTCAAAGAATGTCTAAGCTGGATTTGTCAGTTGTGAAAATGAGTCTCTCAGCCAGCGGAGGTGAGACAAGCTCATCTGAGGGAGGGGCTGACTGGTAGTGGGAGAAATGGCCTGCTGTTTCTCACCTCTTTGTTCAATACAGATTTCAGAGCTTGGTCATGTAACAGTCTCTGTGGGAGCTCTAAGCCAGAAGGTGGAGGATGGGACAGGTTGCCTATGAATGAGGAGGAAAGGATGACAGTAGCACTTTCATTCTTGTTCCTCTCTTCCCAGTTGTATTACTTCATGGAGGCTATGGCCAATACAAGACTCTACTCCAGAACTCTACGGAGTGGCACTGCATTCCCAAGATTTCTGCAGACAAAAGTGAGTGATGTTGAGACCCTCCTAAGAAGCACAAAGTACTTCACCAACATTTACTCTAGTGTCACTCAGCCTTTGAGGTTGGGAATGTCATTGTCAGAACTGAATTGTTTTAAGGAAGGAAGATGTGGATTTGAGGGAAGAAGATGCTGTATTGCACAATTTTACTTAGGATGCCATGAAAACATGTTCTGGGCCAGTGGAAGAGGGTGGGTTGTTCCATACCTTCATTCTGCTCACACAACCCCTCAACTGTTAGTCTGGTTCACTAATCTAGCTGCAAATGCTTCATCCTTTTGTCCAGGTTTGTTCAGCTCCATCCTTTCTGGCTCCTTCCTGTTGACACAGGCATCACAGTCAGTGAGCAGGACAGAGATTTGAGGATGTTGTCAAGTGTTCAGAGTAGTTGGAGAGCTGGGCTGTAATCACGCATGAAGTGATGGCAATATCAAGTGCTAGAATGCCTGCAGTGGAAGTTCCGAAACTCAGGTCAGAAATTTAGTCTCATGTAGCCTCATGCTTTGTGAGAATATATCTGTTGCTTTTTAATCCATCATGTGACTTTCTGGCTATAAGCTGGATCTCTAGGATAACCTGACTGTTTAAGGAACTGACTGTGGTGGCAGCAAGGCTGTCAGAGCAGTTTACTGTATATATCTGCCAATCTGCATGACTTGAGAGCTTGGACAATACTTCTCTGATGGAAGAGTTCTCATAGGAGTGCAAGCCAACTACTTCCCATCTTGCTTCCTCAGGAAGGGTAAGGCAGAAGCCATGTCTCTCACCAAACAGAGGTTGCATGGACATGGCAGAACAGCTAGAGAAAGGGAAAGGGTCTTCAGGTAGGGGGCTTGTGACAGGAGTCTGTCAGGATGTTGACAGCTTTACTTGTTGGAGTGCTGAAAAGAGCATTTACCTCTGTCCAGACCAAAGGTGTGGTTCAAACCACACCCCTCCTCCCAACACTTGGGAACCTACACTGAACTCACAGAGATGAAGGACAACACACCTTGTCTAAAAGCAGGATTTTTTTCCCCACAGTGGAAGGCTGGATGTGCTGCCCGAAGCGCTGGAGAAGGTTTCAAAACAGCTGCTATTTTCTGTCCCTTGATACGATGTCCTGGGCTGGGAGTGAACAGAACTGCACTGGGATGGGCTCCCACCTGGTGGTGATCAACAGCAGGGAAGAGCAGGTACGTGCACAAGGCTCAGAGGGGCAGAGCAGCCATAGACACAGTGCTGGGTCCTGGAGGGGACTCAGAGCCCCTCCTTGTCCTACAGGGGAGGGGGCATTGTTCAGTCTGCACCCTGCAGAGGAGAGGGGATGTCCTATCTGCACCCCTGCAGCACCAGGTCCCCTCTGTCATGAGCCCCACTCCACAGGGACTCCTGATTACTCCCTCTGCTCCATCCTGCACCTCATGGACAATGTACTTTTTTCCAGGAGTTCCTCTTCAATTTGGCAAAAGAAAAAGTTACTAACACCTATGAAACAAAATACTACATAGGCTTAACTTCTTACCAAAATGGGCAATGGCAGTGGGTGGATCAGACTCCATATGAGAAGATAGCCACGTGAGTATCCTGGTGAAGTGGTGAAAGTTCCGTAATTCACTTCTCCTCAGTCCAAGTGACCAATACACTGTCTAAGGCAGGTATGTATCGGATAGGGTTTTCTGTCTTCAACTGCCCTGTAAGTCAGAAAACTTGACTAGTTTTCTAGTCAAAACTATGGCTTCTGATTCTTATCACAGTAACCTTCCCTTTCTCTTCCATAACTGTTTGAGGTGACTTCACTTCCACTGTCAGGCATACTAGTGTATTTCTAACAGAGGAACTTTTTTTTCAGGTTCTGGAAACCTGGAGAACCCAATTTACTCTTTGCAGAAAGATGTGCTGCAATTCATGTCAAGGGAAACAGAGACTCCAACACTTACAGCAACTGGAATAACATTCTTTGCTTCACAAGTTGCTATCGTATTTGTGAAATGGCAGTCAAATTTGTCTGAAGAAGGAAGCTCCACTTTGGATGAAGGATCCAAGGGAGTATCCTTGAGAAAGGCCAGCTCATGAAAGCTGATGAAAACTCAACCTGAGCTTGTACAAATACTTTATCTTGCAGTGTAGAATGAGCAAGCTTGTCATAAAGTCCTAGATCTGAAGGACCTCAGTTCCCATCCTGTGTGTCTGCATCTCTTTCCAATCCGGAGATCAATCCTAGATGAAATAGCTCAGGCTGATATCAAGGACTTACTGTGCCCCTTTTCACTCTCCTCCTTCACAGATGAGGGTCCTGATTCTTCAGTACTTTCCTTGACTCCTTGTACAGTCAACATCTCGATGTGGAAAAGGTCATCTCTGTTTCATGAAAGGATACTGGTTCTTCAAATCACTGGAGCAGAATTTGAAAGAGGAGGATTCAGTGGGGTGTTCTTGTCCCTCCTCTGAAGGGAAAAATTATTTATGGCTTATCTTTAATGTTTCCTTCTTCCTTGAATATATTCTGTGTTGATGCATTAGAAAAAAACCCGTATTAATAAATGTTAATTCTACTCTTTGCATGAGGATGTCATCTGAGTGACATGTCCCAGATTCCCACAACCCAGCCTCCTTGCATGGAGGTTTTAACTTTTTAGTATGTTTGGCACCTGTAGATGAGAATATTACTGTGAGTGTGCTGGTCATGCCAGGAGTATGACCCAGTGTTCATCTGCAGAGCCTGCAGAGAATCACATGTGAGAGCAACAGAGCAGGCTGGGTCATTTTCAGTGCCAACCATTGTTTGACCAGGATGTAACAGAAGGGAAATGGATTTTGGAGATTCTGCTGAGATGTGTGGCAGGATGAGGCATGACAATGAAGGGGAGAGAAAGAAATTAAATATAACAAGAAGTATAAAAGCCAGAGTCCCCCAAGGAAGGATTTCTAATGCGAAAAAAGGGTAGAAGACCCCTATCAGAGGCATCGCTGCAAATCAGACACAGAGAAGTCTTGAGCAAGTGCTCTGCTTCCCTCAAATTTTCCAAATCTCTGTCAGTATATTCCTCTCTTTTTGTCAATGATATCCATGCTCTTTGAAGAGCTGGTACTTTCCACCTTGGGACTAAAAATGCATCCTGAAAAATCAAGTTGGGGTGATTTTTTTCCCCCATCAAACATCTGAATACAAATTTGTGTAATTTCTACCTGAAATAGTGTATTTCTCAGGTTTCTGGTTTAGCCATTGGACCAAAAGCTAGGCTATTGCAAGATCTTGGCCTCCTACTTTCTAAAGATCCTGTGATACTTTCACAATGGAGAAAACTTTTTTGTCTTGTCCAACATCACAGCAAACAAAACTATTGCAATGAACTTCTGTTTTGTGTGACTTCTCTTTTTTATTTCCCCAAATCAGTTCTGGAAATCACAACAGCACAGTTTCAAGAAAGAAAAAGGGGCAGATAAGACACACAGAGTGACCAATGTTTTGCAAGGGCTTTTAGGGACAGCTGCAGTTCTGGCTCTTGGAAGGTGGTATGGGACAGAGCAAAACCTACACCAGGAGATTGGTTTGCAAGAAAATGTTACTTGCTAGACACAGTCTCCACGCCCAAATTTGGAACACAAAATTTTTCTTGACATGTCATGACAAAAGATGGATTTTGCAGAATCGCTGAAGGGAGGTTCCTGAACCCCTCTTTGATACAGATTTGTCTGAAAGAGGTACCTTTCTTCAACATATGAGAATCAGTCTTTACCTCTCAAGTCTGTCTTAATTCAGGAGGTAGCAGATGTCATAGCAGGAGGCAGAGGTGAAGATATACTGTCAGGTACAGCACTTTCAGAAAGCTTCAGAAGGACAGTCCTGCATACTGAACCAGGAGGCTGGGTGGAAAGGACAAAATGTTTATCAGATTAATGTACTTCATGATGACACCTGCAGTCCCTCTTTTCAGGTGCACATCCTGGCCACATCCCAACTGCCTGTCAGAACAAGATGTGGATGCTCATGACTCCTTGGCAAATTAATTTTTACTTTGGAAAGGAACTCAGGTCTGAGGGAAGGAGCCACAGTAACCTTCATTTCTGAGAATACATACACCATAGGGTGTATGTATCCTGACTGCAGCAAAAAAATTCTGTTGTGGTTCAAACTTGAGCTAGCTTCTGCTTTTCCTCAAGAAATTTCATGATGCCCAGTCTTTGAGATGTTGCCTTCAGCTGGAAAAACATCATAGAGTCCATCCATCATTAGGACAGCCTGGGAATATACCTCATTCCCCCGCACACTGCTTCTTTCTGCAGAAGAAAGCAGTTCTCCCCACTTCCTCAGTCCTACGCTGCAAGTCTCAGAAATTTCCCAGTGGGAATCTTGTTGTGGGGGAGGTGATGGTGTACCCAGCTAGTTTTGTCCCACCTGCTCAGATTACAGCTCTGGTAGAAAGGGAGATTGGTTTCCTTTCTGCTGCTGGCAAACACTATGCCCACTGATGGCATCATCAGCAAGAGATGGAAAGAAAAGGCCAGGCATTGCTAGGGAGAGAGAGAAACAAGAGTGGGAAAGAAATAGTACTGCATTCTGTTTTCAGAAAACATCTGATAAAAATGCGTATAACATATGAGCCGGAATATTTCTTCTAAGTTATTGCATCCTAAGTGCAATCACACAACACCTACAGGATGGACAAGGGACCAGACCCAGCCAGCACAGGTTTAGGAAGGGCAGGTCCTGTCTGACCAACCTGATCTCCTTTTATGATCAGGTGACCTGCCTGGTGGATGAGGGGAAGGCTGTGGATGTGTCTATCTGGACTTCAGCAAAGCCTTTGACACCGTCTCCCACATCATACTCCTGAAAAAGCTGGCAGCTCACAGCTTGGACAGGGGCACTCTGTGCTGGGTTAGGAACTGGCTGGAGGGCCAGGCCCAGAGAGTGGTGGTGAACGGGGCTGTATCCAGTTGGCGGCCGGACACTAGTGGTGTCCCCCAGGGATCAGTGTTGGGCCCGGTTCTGTTTAATATCTTTATTGATGATCTGCATGAGGGGATTGAGTGTACCATTAGTAAATTTGCAGATGACACCAAGCTAGGGGGGAATGTTGATCTGCTGGAAGGCAGGAGGACTCTTCAGAGGGACCTGGACAGGCTGGAGAGTTGGTCTGATTTCAGTAGGATGAGGTTCAACAAGACCAAGTGCCACATCCTCCACTTTGGCCACAACAACCCCCTGCAGCGCTACAGGCTAGGGACAAAGTTGCTGGAGAGCAGCCAGGCAGAAAAGGACCTAGGGGTTATGATTGACAGGAAGCTGAACATGAGCCAGCAGTGTGCCCAGGTGGCCAAGAAGGTCAATGTTATCCTGGCCTGGATCAGGAACAGTGTGGCCAGCAGGACCAGGGAAGTGACTCTGCCCCTGTACTTAGTCCTGGGGAGGCCACACTTTGAGTACTGCCCAGGGAGGTGGTGGATTCACCATCCCTGGAGGTTTTTAAGATGAGACTGGATGTGGCACTTAGTGCCATGGTCTAGTAACCATGGCGGTGTTGGATCAAGGGTTGGACTTGATGATCTCAGAGGTCTTTTCCAACCCTGTTCATTCTACGATTCTGGTACAGCTAATAAAGAAGACATTCATTGTGCCCATAGATGGCATTAAGCAAGAGAAGAGAAGACCAGTGCAGGTGCCAACACCTGTCTCACAGGATCACATGGAAGAGGGGTGGTCGTGGTGCAGGGTCTACCACAGTAACAATATATTCACCTTCTTAAAAAATTCCCTATTGCCCTGGAGAGCACTGACATGTGCTGGCTTACCTTCCTTCTCTGTTGCTGAGAGACGTGACACCAAAACCTCTGGGAGATCAGAGCAGTTAATACTGACAATGACTGGGCAGTGGACATGTAAAGCAGTCAGTGTTGATGTCTCCTCTGGTCAGGCTTATTAATTTAATCTGTACACTGCGCATGCTACTCCCTATATGTCTAGTTCTGACAGCCAATTCTTCCTTATAGGATACACCAGACTTTCTCTAATAAATGATCATCCTTGCCAAGCCAAAATTGAAATGTATGAGGTTTTCATGACAGATGTTATTTTTTATAAGGACTTTTCTATAAAAATTTCCTCCAGGGGTGCCTGTTGTTTTTTTTTTAGACAAAGCAGAGAATTATCCCCCTCCTCTTCCTCTTTTCATGTTTTATCTCACCTCAGATTCTTTCATGTTCCTTTACAACATTTATTTCTCCGCTTCTTTATGCTTCTTTGTACTCCTGCTGTCTTTCATACTGTTTTCCCCTTTACTCCTTTTTTTCTCTTTTAAATTTTGTTTCCTTTTACCTTTTCTTGCTAGACCACAGATGAGGACCATACAATGTTGTTTGGGGGAAATAAAAGAGAGGAATGTCATTTAAAGGAGTTCTGACACTGGAAACACATCTGTTCTGTCTTTTAAAATTTGGTGTTTCTGAAACCATTTCCTAAGCAAACTTGTGTAAGGTATTAGTAGTAAACCAGGTACTGTTGGCCTTGCAGTTTCTTGTTATCCAAGAGATCTCCAAATCCCTCTTCATCTGTTTAGTTCATGCTGCTTCCCCATTGTTTATCTCACATGTTGTCTAAGACAAATCCTGTGACTTTAGCTTTTATGTCTCTACCTGGTTACAAGTAAATACAAACACTTCTTTGCTTTTATATTCAATCAGTCTACATACACCTGAGCACGTTTTTTTACTTTCTGCTTTTTAATTATAAATCATTTATCTTGACATACTTTTGGATCTCCTGGTTTCCTGGAATTGCTTCAGCTGATTGTGAGGTCCAGCACTTCTCTTGCTCACAGCAAGTCACCTACCACTCTGTCAGCGTCACTGTCATTTACTTTCACTGGAGGGTAATGGACACACGCAGGGGAGAATGAGCGGTGGGAAGGCTGTTGTGGTGAGGGATGAACTGCATGATGTGAGACTCTGAAGTCTCACACTGTGAGGGTGTCCCACACAGCAGGAACATTTCTACCATTCTGTAACCTCA